GTAATGTAGTACTGAGTACTGATGTAGTAATGTAGTACTGAGTACTGATGTAGTAATGTAGTACTGAGTACTGATGTAGTAATGAGTACTGATGTAGTAATGTAGTAATGAGTACTGATGTAATGATGTAGTACTGAGTACTGATGTAGTACTGAGTACTGATGTAATGTAATGTTCCTTTGACCCGAACAGTCGCTGTGAAAACGTTTTAGGTTATATGGGACAGCTCTGCCACCTGCTGTTGTAACTTTGTACTTGCATGGAGTAGTAACAGCAAAGGGTTATGGGTAATCCTCAAAGCAATGGAGGAAACAGATTTATTTTCTTTTAATGAATTTAAGAGAGGGACACTTACTGCTCTGCTTCATTTATTTAATTGACATGAATTTAAACCATGTGATGTTTTACAGCAGAGACAACAACAGAAAACTCAACCAGTGTGTGTGTGTGTGTGTTTGTGTGTGTGAGAGAGAGAGAGAGACAGAGAGAGAGAGAGACAGAGAGAGAGAGAGACAGAGAGAGAGACAGACAGAGAGAGAGACAGAGAGAGAGACAGAGAGAGACAGAGACGAAGACGAAGAAAAGAGAAGAAGAGAAGAACAGACGAGACAGACAGAGGGAACAGAGATGAGGAGAGAGAGAGACAGAGAGAGACAGAGAGAGACAGAGGGAGAGAGAGAGAGAGAGAACAGAGAGAGAAGACAGAGGAGAGAAGAGAGGAGGGAGCAGAGAGAGAGAGACAGAGGAGACAGAGAGAGACAGAAGAGAGAACAGAGAGAGAGAGAGAGAAGAGAGAGAGAGGGAGAACAGAGGACAGAGAGAGGAGACAGAGAGACAAGAGAGACGGAGGAGAGAACGAGAGAGAGACAAGAGAGACAGAGACAGAGAGAGACAGAGGGAGACAGAGAGCGAGAGCAGACCAGAAGAAGATCGAAGACAAGAATTGAGAGAGACAGAGAGAGACAGAGGGAGACAGAGAGAGAGAGAGAGAGACAGAGAGAGACAGAGGGAGACAGAGACAGAGAGAGAGAGACAGAGAGAGACAGAGGGAGACAGAGAGAGACAGAGAGAGACAGAGGGAGACAGAGAGAGAGAGAGAGACAGAGGGAGACAGAGACAGAGAGAGAGAGACAGAGAGACAGAGACAGATTTATTAGGAACATCTGACTTGATGCCTCTTTTCCTGTTTCTTTTCTAATTAGAGAGAATGTCCATGATGAAGCTACGTAATGAGACGAGTGTTGCTGCTGCACATGTCCATGAACTGTTCACAGGGTCAGAATTAAGTGGTTATTAAATGTCTCTGACATGAATTATATATTTTATTATTGTAAGGGGATATATCCAACAGGTTAGCTGTTAACTAATGATATAGGTTAATGATGAAACGTCAAGGTAATGACACGTATGGTTAGAAACAAACAGGATTGGAGTATTTTCCCTCGACTTCAGTTGTGGAGTATAAAAACACTGTCAGGAAAAACTTTGACAAATATGAAACTAAAAGTATAAAATATTTGTATAAATGTGTAAGAGTGTGTTAGAAGCACGTATGAATATGTGTGCAGGTTTTAATCAGTCTTGATTAATATGTTTATGTGTCCACTGTGTGATCTGATCACTTTGACCTCCTGTCAAACATCTGATATGGTTCAGACCTTCATGTTCCCCAGAGGATGAACTGTAATAACTGATCATCCTCTGACTTCTCCTCAACTCCTTTACTTTGGTTTATGACCAGGTGCGTTCCCATCAGCCTCAGTGCTACTTGATGTTTACTACTGTTACTACTGTGGCATTTCTGGTTTGTGAATAATGTCAAAGTGAAGTTCAGTGATTGGTCGTTGTGGACTACAGACTTCCTCAGGTTCTCATGTGGCAGGAAGTCATTGTGTTGAGAGGGGTGTTCCCAGGTGAGAGGACCCTTAAACACCTGAAGCGCCACCTGCTGGCTCTGCTGCTGTTGCCTCCACATCTCTGTCCTGCAGGACGTGTTTCCTGTATGCTCTTTGGATCACCGTCGCTGCCACCTCCTCGTGTTTTCTCTGCAGGGTGCTGCTGATTGGTTCATATGACAGCTGCAGGAAACAGGGGTCATCTATTACATCAGGTAGGACTATGGCGTTTAAGTCATCTCAAAAGTTTTTCGCACAAAAACTGTGTGTCTGTGTGATGTGAGCGCTCACAACAGATCCACAAGTGGAAAACCTTCCTCACGAGGGAACATCTCTGCTCCACGGAGAAGAGATGCTCTCTGTTGAGGAAGGTTTCCTGCTCACAAATCTGTTCTGAGCGCTCACATCACACAATGCGTGCAGTCTTATGCATGCTTTTAAGACTAATTAAACCTCATAAAGGACATAGGTTTAGGGGCAAAAAAGTATTACCAGCTGTTTTCCTTTCAAAATAAACCTCTCCCTACAAATCAGTTTGATTTAGACATCTGAACATAAAGAGCACAGTCGTCTGCATACAGTGAGAGTCAGCAGCTGTCAACACAGATTCCTGCTGTAAAATATATTGTACATGATACACACATCGAACACTATCTAATAAATAAAAAGACTAATGTATTTTCTTTACTGTCACTGATCATATGGGTGTGTTTTCTCTGTTTGCAGTTTCAGAGAAACTCACGATTGTCTCAGTCAACTCATTTTCATTTTTGTCAACTAATTTTAGTTTGGTGCTTAAACATTTATGGATACAGTTCAATTGTGGAATAAGCATTAATTCATACAAAACCAAATTCCTAATATCCTAAACTAAGGAGAATAGAATAGAACAGAACAGAACCTTGGGCAACTTGTTGGTCATGAACTTCTCCTCAATTCTGGCTTTGATAGCATCCCTCTGTCCTGAATCACCAAATACCTGCACACAGGTAAGAATAATGATAACAATGATGATAATAATAATGATGATGATGATGATAATAATAATAATGTTACCTCTGCAGTGAATGCAAGCAGGACATCTGTACAGTGGATCTTGTCTCCAGGAAGCAGAGGCAGATCCATGTGGATCAGTTTGATTGTGTTTGGTTTGGGAATCCTCAGAGGATCCTGCAGAGTGTCGCAGAAATCTGACAGCTGACTGTTGAACACAATGGAGAACATTATAGTCTACTAGAGACTTCCAGAGTCCATCATTTAGGATATCTGACAATAGTGTGAATCTAAATTTAAAGCAAGGCATAGCACTGAGTCAGCTCAGAGACCAATGATCTCCTCACTGCTGCTGCTGCTGCTGCTGCTGCTGCTGGTGGATGTGGTTGTGGTTGTGGTGGTGGTCTGCCCTGATCTTACTGGACCTTAGTTCTGCATTAGACACAGTAGATTCCTGTATCTTATTCTGTATTCTATCTCATATATCTCGCAGACACTGCAAATGAATATTTGTCTCGTTATTGTTATCTTATCTGCTGCCTCACTGAAGTGTGGAGTACATCTGAGCTCTGACGTAGGTCCTCTTCTGTTTTCTATCTGTAAGCTTCCACTTGTGGCACCTGTGGCTCAGGAGGAAAAGCGGGTCGTCCACTAAAAGTTGTGTCCGTGGGCAAGATACTGAACCCAAATTGCCCCCGATGTATCGTGTGTATATTTGGTAGAAAAGCACTGTATGTGCTGTGTGAGTCTGTGTGTGAATTGGTGAATGTGACTCGTAGTATAAAGTGAGTTGAGTGGTCGTTACGACTACAAAAGAGTCACTAAGAGTCGATTAGAGTTTCTAAGAGTTGACTGAAGTTTAATAAGATGAAACAGGAAAATATTTTCCGTGATGAGAGTATCAGTTTGTACTGTATGGAGTTTGGACTCACCTGTACTGTATGACCTGTGAGCCATCAGTGTCAAACATCCTCCAGGTTTTATAAAACATCTGCAGTTCATTGTCACTCAGGTTCTCAGTGTCGTCCATATTGAAGGTCTCCAGGACGACGGCAATGTACATGTGGACCACCAGCAGGACAGACAGGATGATGTAGGAGGAGAAGAAGATGATGCCCAGTATTGGGCTGCCACAGTTCCCTAAGACGGTCGATCCTGGGTTCTGCATGTACGGGTCGCAGTCCGGAGGCGTATCCAGGATGGGCCTCAGCAGAAAGTCCAGTCCAGTTGTAGTGGTCAAAGTAAACATAGACATCATGCTGCTCCCAAAAGTCTCAAAGTAAAGCAATGGGTGCTCGTTTCTCACATAGGCAAAGCTAAACATGCCGAAGATTGAGTACGTGAAGATGAGGAGGAAGAGGAGGAGGCAAATGTTGAAGAGGGCAGGGAGTGACAACACAAAGGCTACAAGCCAGGGAATGACAGGGATGATACGACTTATACGAGCCAGTCGGAGCACAGGGAAGAAGTTTGGTGAGATTAAATATTTTTCCAGGAAGTCGAATATGAACATACCTGAAAGAAAGACAGAAAGAAAGAAAGAAAGAAATTTGAAACACTTTCTTCTTCTATTGTAGGTTACAATGTGAAGCCAGACTAGGAGTAGCACCACTAGCAGATACACTGAGTTTGCACTAAGCATCAACGTCCGAGGCTGAAAAATGAAGCTGCCACTGAAGTCATTCCCAACAGGGTTAGAGAATTAACAATAGCTATCAACCCTTTGTGCAGCACATTAGCGTCATACCTTATTTTGAAACTATGTTAAATTGCATTGCCCCTATCAACTACATAAATGAGCTAAAAAAAGTACCAAAACCTGCAGTTCCTCCAACGACCACTAGAGTCTGGCTCCAACAGTGAGTCAGTCCCCATAGACTCCCATGTTAAAATGTCCAACTTTACAGCAGAAATAAACATGTTTACAGCCTGGTACAGAAACTGCTTTGGTCTCTAGAGCTGATTTCTTCCCTCATGACACCTGTATGGATGTGAATTTTTATATAACTCACTCATTTGAATTTTATTAAGGCTTAAAGTTCTGCATAATTGAGGTTGGGCTGCTTTGAGTGACAGGTGGGTGAGCATATGCTTGCCAGAAGCTGATATGCACCGACATCCGGCCTCAACACTCGCCCCTCCCCTTGGCCCATTTTTGGATTCGCCGGGAGTTCAGCGGAGTCAGGCACTGGCAAGATGACAACGACGGATTGGCGGAACGGAATATTTGTGCCAAATTTGAAGGAGTTGTGTCAAGGCATTACTGAGACACCGTGTCTACGGACAGACAACCTGAAAACCAAATGGCTGCTGCTCTGACTGTCACCGGCGCAGAGGACTAAAAACTCATTCATATCAATTAGTTGCACTATACACGTGGAATGCTGGGAGGTTGGGGCAGAAGATGACATCACCACATGAAAATTGGCCAACTCACCCACAATGGACAAGATAATGACGACAAAGTCGAGGATGTTCAGCCAGTCAGAGAAGTAGTGCCGTCCGAGGGCGATGATCTTCAGAAGGAACTCAATGAGGAAGATGATGATGAAAACGAAGTTGATCCAGTGCAGAATTAAATCTTTCTCGTTGCTCTGCTCATCCGTCTCCACCATCAGAGTCACCATTTTCAAGCAGATCACCACCACCACGAAGACATCAAAAGCCGGTTTGGTCACCAGGTCGAAGAGCAGAGCCCGGCACTTGTTCTGGAGAGGCAGGAGGACAAACAGGACGTCACAGCTGGAAGACCTGAACCTAACCCTAACCTGAAGTATCAAGCTTAAAAACGTCTGGACTGTAAAACATCAGCAGATCCAGAGAACCAGGTCCTATATTCATTAAAGCTCAGAGTTCATCACTTGACCTGCACAAGGCCCATGACTCAGCTCAGTCATGAGTCGGACCTGGATTCATTAGAACATTAGAACCAGGATCCTGGAGCACATGTGACCTCTAACCTGAGCTCCACAGCCATGTGGTGTGAACACAGCTGGACAGGAAGTCAGTGAACCCACCTGAGGTCGTGGAACAGGTTTTCGAGTTGTCCTGGACAACCGTCTCTTCATGCCCCGGGATAATTTCTGCTGCTCCTCCGTCATAAACAGATGTTTCCCTCCCAAGTAAAGATGAGAGAGAGACAACAGTTAACTGATGGAGACGAAGACAAAACAAAACCTGAGACTGGTTCAGCACCTGAACTGTCTCTCAGCCTGTCTCTCTCTCAGTCTGTCTGTCTCCCAGCCTGTCTGTTTCTCAGCCTGTCTGTCTCCCAGTCTGTCTGTCTCTCAGCCTGTCTCTCTCTCAGTCTGTCTGTCTCCCAGCCTGTCTGTTTCTCAGCCTGTCTGTCTCCCAGTCTGTCTGTCTCTCAGCCTGTCTCTCTCTCAGCCTGTCTGTCTTTCAGTCTGTCTGTCTCCCAGTCTGTCTCTCAGCCTGTCTCTCTCTCAGTCTGTCTGTCTCTCTCTCAGCCTGTCTATCTCTGAGCCTGTCTCTCAGTCTGTCTGTCTCTCAGCCTGTCTGTCTCTCAGTCTGTCTGTCTCTCTCTCAGCCTGTCTATCTCTGAGCCTGTCTCTCAGTCTGTCTGTCTCTCACCCTGTCTGTCTCTCAGCCTGTCTCTCTCTCAGTCTGTCTGTCTCTCTCTCAGCCTGTCTATCTCTGAGCCTGTCTCTCAGTCTGTCTGTCTCTCACCCTGTCTGTCTCTCAGCCTGTCTCTCTCTCAGTCTGTCTGTCTCTCTCTCAGCCTGTCTATCTCTGAGCCTGTCTCTCAGTCTGTCTGTCTCTCACCCTGTCTGTCTCTCAGCCTGTCTCTCTCTCAGTCTGTCTGTCTCTCTCTCAGCCTGTCTATCTCTGAGCCTGTCTCTCAGTCTGTCTGTCTCTCACCCTGTCTGTCTCTCAGCCTGTCTCTCTCTCAGTCTGTCTGTCTCTCTCTCAGCCTGTCTATCTCTGAGCCTGTCTCTCAGTCTGTCTGTCTCTCACCCTGTCTGTCTCTCAGCCTGTCTCTCTCTCAGTCTGTCTGTCTCTCTCTCAGCCTGTCTATCTCTGAGCCTGTCTCTCAGTCTGTCTGTCTCTCACCCTGTCTGTCTCTCAGCCTGTCTCTCTCTCAGTCTGTCTGTCTCTCTCTCAGCCTGTCTATCTCTGAGCCTGTCTCTCAGTCTGTCTGTCTCTCACCCTGTCTGTCTCTCAGCCTGTCTCTCTCTCAGTCTGTCTGTCTCTCTCTCAGCCTGTCTATCTCTGAGCCTGTCTCTCAGTCTGTCTGTCTCTCACCCTGTCTGTCTCTCAGCCTGTCTCTCTCTCAGTCTGTCTGTCTCTCTCTCAGCCTGTCTATCTCTGAGCCTGTCTCTCAGTCTGTCTGTCTCTCACCCTGTCTGTCTCTCAGCCTGTCTCTCTCTCAGTCTGTCTGTCTCTCTCTCAGCCTGTCTATCTCTGAGCCTGTCTCTCAGTCTGTCTGTCTCTCACCCTGTCTGTCTCTCAGCCTGTCTCTCTCTCAGTCTGTCTGTCTCTCTCTCAGCCTGTCTATCTCTGAGCCTGTCTCTCAGTCTGTCTGTCTCTCACCCTGTCTGTCTCTCAGCCTGTCTCTCTCTCAGTCTGTCTGTCTCTCTCTCAGCCTGTCTATCTCTGAGCCTGTCTCTCAGTCTGTCTGTCTCTCACCCTGTCTGTCTCTCAGCCTGTCTCTCTCTCAGTCTGTCTGTCTCTCTCTCAGCCTGTCTATCTCTGAGCCTGTCTCTCAGTCTGTCTGTCTCTCACCCTGTCTGTCTCTCAGCCTGTCTCTCTCTCAGTCTGTCTGTCTCTCTCTCAGCCTGTCTATCTCTGAGCCTGTCTCTCAGTCTGTCTGTCTCTCAGCCTGTCTGTCTCTCAGCCTGTCTCTCTCTCAGCCTGTCTGTCTCTCAGCCTGTCTGTCTCCCAGTCTGTCTCCCAGTCTGTATAGAGACATATCTTGTGTGTCAGCTGGTCCAGCATGTTGATGAAGACTCTGACGAAGAGGTTGAAGGTGAAGAAGCAGCCGATGATGATGAAACAGATGAAGTACAGGTACATGTAGGGCCTGTTCTCATACACTGGCTGAGATTCCACCTGTACACAGACACAGAAAAATACCAGTACAGCACCAGTACAGAACCAGTACCAGTATGTGCACCAGTAAAACCATCAGTAGGTGTCCTGACCTGTGTGGAGTCCACTGCTGCGTACATAATGTTCAACCAGCCTGAGAATGTCGCCTGACAGAAACAACACAGAAGAACATGGAGGCTCATTGTCAACCTGCCGCTCGGAATGTAAACATGAGATAAAGTAAAAGAGACGTGACAGAGCAGCTGATAACAGCTCCTTGTGTTCATTGTGAGGAGCCACCATGATGTTTACTTCCTGTGTGATAGAGTTCAGACTGACCATATGCAGCAGTGAAAGGTAACTCTGTCCCACGTTGTCAAAGTTTAACTTTGCATTCTTCCAGACGATATCAGTAAAGTTTTCGTCGATCAGAATGAAACAGTCGGTCTTGTTGCCCGCCTCCTCATCGAGGAGCAGCTGCTCTGATGTCGTATTATAACAGTAAGAGAACTTTCCAGCAAACAGCCTCACTCCAACGATGCTGAACATTAAGCAGACGGTCAGAGCCACCAGCAGCACATCAAACAGGGCTGGGAGCGTCACTGCCAGAGCCTGCAGCACCACCTGCAGACAGGTACAGAGAGTGAGACAGGTACAGATTCACTACGAGAGCCTGCAGCCCCACCTGCAGACAAACAGGTACCGAGAGTCAGATAGGTACAGATACATTGCTGGAGCCTGCAGCACCACCTGCAGACAGACAGGTAGAGAGGGTGAGACAGGTTCAGAGAGTGAAAGAGGTACAGATACATTACTGGAGCCTTCAGCACCACCTGCAGACAGACAGGTAGAGAGGGTGAGACAGGTTCAGAGAGTGAAAGAGGTACAGATACATTACTGGAGCCTTCAGCACCACCTGCAGACAGACAGGTAGAGAGGGTGAGACAGGTACAGAGAGTGAAAGAGGTACAGATACATTCCTGGAGCCTTCAGCACCACCTGCAGACAGACAGGTAGAGAGGGTGAGACAGGTACAGAGAGTGAAAGAGGTACAGATACATTGCTGGAGCCTTCGGCACCACCTGCAGACAGACAGGGAGAGAGGGTGAGACAGGTACAGATACATTGCTGGAGCCTTCGGCACCACCTGCAGACAGACAGGGAGAGAGGGTGAGACAGGTACAGATACATTGCTGGAGCCTTCGGCACCACCTGCAGACAGACAGGTAGAGAGGGTGAGCCAGGTACAGAGAGTGAGACAGGTTGGAAGACCGATATAGTGTACTACTGTAGTCCCAGACCTAACTTCTAACATGCTATCTGGCCAGACTGTAAGTGACCATAACTGTCTGTCTCTCTCTCTGTCTGTCTGTGACTGTCTTACCCTTAGGCATTGGAAGCGAGACAGGGCCCTCAGGGGCCTCAGAGCTCTCAGAGTCCTCAGAATCAGGCCCACTTCCAGTTGAGAGTATCCCAGCATGTCGACAGTCACTGACATCAGAGAGACCTGGTGATGACATCATACTTATCATGCCTCAATAATCATACATCAATCACTTGCAGGTAATTGAAATATTATAGTATTATTATTGTAATAATAATAAGACATATGAGGAACTTGTTAGCATCAGAAAAAAATTGTATGCTATGATTTTTTCACATCATTGTGAATCTTGCTGGTCTCAAACTAGATTAGAGAACAATAGTCCAGACCGGACCAGACCAGACCAGACTAGACTAGACCAGACCAGACCAGACCAGACTAGACTAGACCAGACCAGACTAGAGTAGGGTAGAGTAGACCAGACCAGACCAGACCAGACCAGACTAGACCAGACTAGACTAGACCAGACCAGACTAGAGTAGGGTAGAGTAGACCAGACCAGACCAGACTAGACTAGACTAGACCAGACCAGACCAGACTAGACTAGACCAGACCAGACTAGAGTAGGGTAGAGTAGACCAGACCAGACCAGACCAGACTAGACTAGACCAGACCAGACTAGAGTAGGGTAGAGTAGACCAGACCAGACCAGACCAGACCAGACTAGTCTAGACTAGACCAGACCAGACTAGAGTAGGGTAGAGTAGACCAGACCAGACCAGACTAGACTAGACTAGACTAGACTAGACTAGACTAGACCAGACCACACTAGACTAGACTAAACTAGACTAGACCAGACTAAACTACACTAGACTAGACTAGACTAGACCAGACCAGACTAAACTACACTAGACTAGACCAGACTATACCAGACCAGACTAGACTAAACTACACTAGACTAGACTAAACTACACTAGACTAGACTAAACTATACCAGACCAGACCAGACTAAACTACACTAGACCAGACCAGACTAGACTAAACTACACTAGACTAGACCAGACTAGACCAGACTAGACTAAACTACACTAGACTAGACTAAACTACACTAGACTAGACTAAACTACACTAGACTAGACTAAACTATACCAGACCAGACTAAACTACACTAGACTAGACCAGACCAGACTAAACTACACTAGACTAGACCAGACTATACCAGACCAGACTAGACTAAACTACACTAGACTAGACTAAACTACACTAGACTAGACTAAACTATACCAGACCAGACCAGACTAAACTACACTAGACCAGACCAGACTAGACTAAACTACACTAGACTAGACCAGACTAGACCAGACTAGACTAAACTACACTAGACTAGACTAAACTACACTAGACTAGACTAAACTACACTAGACTAGACTAAACTATACCAGACCAGACTAAACTACACTAGACTAGACCAGACTAGACTAAACTACACTAGACTAGACCGGACTAGACTAAACTACACTAGACTAGACCAGACTAGACCAGACTAGACCAGACTAGACTAAACTACACTAGACTAGACTAAACTATACCAGACCAGACTAAACTACACTAGACCAGACCAGACTAAACTACACTAGACTAGACCAGACTAGACCTGTAAGACTTTTCTGAAATTAACCAACCTCTAAAGTTTTGAATAGAAAATCATTGTAACATACTATCACATACGAGTTCATCAGAAGTCTGATTGGTAAGTTTCTTCATTTGCAGACTTTCAACTCCACTCTAATGAGCAGAAAAAAATGGACCTGGATCTGGATTCAAATTCAAACATTACCAATAATCAGTGTTATTGATCTGTTCTTACGGCCAAGATGAGGAAGTCGATCCAGCACCAGACGCTGGTGAAGTACTTCTTGAATCCATAGGCGATCCACTTGAGAAGCATCTCCAGGAGGAACACGTAGGTGAACACCTGGTCTGCTCTGTCCAGAATCATCTGTAACACTGTCTGCTGCTGCAGGTGGATGTCCTCAAACACCTGTTCACATACACACACGTTACCACCTGACCAGGTGTTTACCTTCACTGACTGACAGGGTTAAAACTGAACCGATGGGTTAACTTTACCCAGCACTCAAGGATAGAAACCCAACCAAGACAAAACACTGTTTTGTTCCAGTGACCCAAGATTAACATACAAATAAGACTGGGTCAGAACAACAGCTGGTTCAGTTCAGGGTACAGTTATCCATATTACTGTATATTCATTAATCGTAATAATGTGTGTTTACCAGAGCTGCACTGCTGAGGAGGATGATGGAGATGATGAAGGTCTCAAAGCATTTGTGTTGCACGATGGAGAAACAGGCTCTCCTGAAGTTAGACCAAACCCTCCATGTGCCCCGGGACGTGTCTACATTCAGGAACGGACAGCAATGGTAACAACATGAAAAACATACACACACACACACACACACACACCAGTCCTCACTTTCTGACATACCTTCAAAGGGCTGTTTAAGTCCTGGTTCAGGAGTTAGAATCAGGTTTAGTTTTAGGTTAGGATTATGCATTATGTCAATGAGTGTGTGTGTGTGTGTGTGTGTGTGTGTGTGTGTGTGTCGTACTGTGACAGCAGCAGTCTTCAGGTGTGTTTTCTCTGTGATTTTTATTGTCTTCATCCTGCTAAACAAATACAAATCATAAATAAACGATATATTCGTTTGTTTACTGTTACTTATGAAGGAGTTCATGAATATGACTAAAAAAATCAATCTGCTTCAGACAACGTTGATTTTTATGTGAAGACAAAAAAAATCAATAGAAAATGTTTTACTTGTTGCTTTTTCTCCTTGTCTTCATTTTCAGGCGTATTGGACTCGATCACGACCTCTGACACCGACTGGTCTGAGGTCATAGAGGTCAAGCCCACGTACTCCTTCTTGTTGTCTTTCTTACTGTCGACCACTTACGATAAAAAACAACCAGGAAGATCACAACACAAAACATTCTGTCGAACCTTCAGTCTTCAGTCTCATCATCAACAAACTGGATTCCAAAAACCTGAAACACCCTGAACTCTAAAATCTGCAAACTACAGACCCCGGAAACAAACTGCTCGGTACTTGCAAAGTAAACAGACCAACCTTTGGGGTCAGGGTTGACATGGTTCTTCTTTCCTTGCAAATGTTCCAGGATCCAGGTCCTGGTCCGAGCTGCACACCCTTTGATCTGGTTTATGGCGAACAGCGGATTGTTTTCTCCTTGTTCTGTTGGAGCTGCCAGATTAACAGCACTGACTGAGCTCAGCAGCAAGGCCAGGAACAGGTTCAGAACCTGAAACAAGGCCAGGAACATATTCATAATTTGTGGCTGGAGTAGCAACAGAATCAAGACCTCCAACAACAGACCCAGAACCTAAACTAGAGTCACGAACAGAGCCAGGATCTGCAACAAGGCCAGGGGAAGTTCATGACCTGTACCTACACTGGTATGAACAATTAATCCCTGGTCAACTGTTTCACTGTTCAAGATTTAAGACACAACCTCGATCATGGCCCCAGACCTGGACCTGCTGTAGTCTGAAGGAGTAAACCAGGGTCTGGTCAGATAGAGAAAGAGACTCACCAGCAGGTATCCGATCACCACGACTGTCATGAAGAAGATCAGACACACGCTCTGATTCGAGACCATCATGCAGTCCCACATGGTCTCGATCCACTCTCCACAAAAGATCCTGAAGATGAGGAGGAATGTCTGGAACAATCCGTTCATATGCCAGCGAGGAAGCTCGCAGTCATTAGCGATGCAACAGACGTTGGATTCATAGTCCTTCTGGAACAGCTGCAAGCCGACGACGGTGAAGGCGAAGACCATGATGAGCAGAATGAGAGTCAGGTTCCTTAGGGCCCAGACCGCAGTCCACATAATCTTGATCAACGTGTGGAAGGTTGGCCACCACCGGGCCAGCCTCAGTACCCGCATCTAGACGAGACAGGTGAGGGCACAGGGAGGAAGTCATATTGATAATATTAAATGATGAACTTGGTAATTAGTGATGATGATGATGGTGCCACACTGACCACATTGAAGCAGTACAGCACATTTAGACCCTCGACATCTGCCATTGTCACGTCCATCAGACTGACGATGACAATGATGAAGTCAAGTATGTGCCAGCCGACCTGTAACCAAGGCAGCAGAACAATCACACACATTTCTATCAGAAGAGCAGACACCATCAATGAGCTGGTAACAAACACAAAGTCTGACCTTGAAGTAACCGTATGGGTCCAAGGCCACGAGTTTGAGGAGCGCCTCGGCTGTGTAGATCATTGTGAAGATCTGCAGAGAGGGGGGGTCAGGGGTCAGAGGTCAGGAGTCAGGGTTAGAACAAATCCTGTTTGAACAACTGCTGGACTCGTCTGTTGGTTCAGTCCTTTAGCACAACCATACCCCCCCCACACCCCCACTGTTCTTTAGCACTGACCAGGTCTGTCATGTACAGCAGGTCCGCAAACTCGATTGTCATTGGGTAATGTTCCATGGCCATGAGGATGCTGTTAAATATGAGGCAGACGACAATTCCAAAGTCAAAGAACGGGTTCATGACGAAGGTGTGGAGCCGCTGTTTCAACCGCCTCCAGCAGCCACAACAGTTCCACTTCAGGAAGGCCAGACAACATGGAGGACACGAGCTCTGGTCCTCCTTGACCTCTGAAACACACACAGCTGCTTATTGAGACCATCGACTTCCTGTCTGTTCTCTACAGAGACAGTGTGAGCAGGAACCGCTCCATGTTAAACTGATGGTAATTTAAGGTGTTCTCATGTTGGGCACTGTGAGGGTCCTCAGCGGTATAGAGAGGTGTGTGTGTGTGTGTGTGTGTGTGTGTGTGTGTGTGTGTGTGTGTACCCCCCACAGCAGGGCGTTCTTCCTCATGGCTCTTTGTTACTGCGGCTGAGCTTTTGTCCTGCGGTGCTAAAGGCTGTTTCTCAGAGACCTCCTGTGTGCAGGCCAACAAACACAAACACATAGGTGTTTATTTTCACATGATTAATTCAGTTCACCTTCCTGCTGTTTCATGTTTCATGTTAATACCAGTAGGAATAATTCCACAATATTATTTTGAACATTCTCAGACAGTAGTTTTTATTTCATTGTTAATTTACAGTATTTAACTGTTATTATCATTATTATTATTATTGTAATTATTTATGTGTAAGATTTAGGTTTATTCACATTATCGTGCCTCACAATTTCGTTAGTTCCTACCTCCTCCTCCTCCTCCTCCCTCCTCTTCATCACCTCCAGGATCTGAATGAACTCTTCTTCCCTCTGTTTGGCCTTGGCGACATTGGCCCTGTCCTGCTCAACAGTCACCCTGGCAACTAACGCCAGAATGAGGCTGAGGAGGAGGAAACAGCTGGGGAAGACGAGGACCAAGAAGATGATCGTAGTGTAAGTAC